GTCCCCCAGCCTCTCAGGAGAAGCTGATAAGCAGGGGGCATTGTTACACCAACAACCAATGACAGAACTGCATGTGCTCATAAAGCCCCGCTGGCCAATGGCAGGCGCTGAGAGGAGAAACACGCATCCTCTGTTGTGTTATGCCCCTTACCATAGGACGGTCATGGAAATGCACTGCCCCGAGGAAGCCTGGGGTTTCTCACAAGGGTTGGAAAGGTATTACTGCGATGTTTCCTGGGAAGGCTAGAGCTTATGGCAGAAAGGTGTCCCCGGATGAACGAATGAAATCCAATGTTCACTCAGCATACACAGGGGCCAGCCTCTAGCTGGTCAGACAATGTTTAACAGGGTCTGTGGTGATGCCATCAGTAGTAGTGGGGTTTCATGTGAGTGAGTCACAGGCTGGCAAGGTAGTGTTCTTGAAGGGGTGTGGCTCCTGCAAGTATTTCATTTCGGAGCCCTGAGAGATGCCAGGCACAGCGGTCCTGTGAGTAGGTCACATCTGAGCCATGCTCAAAACCTGCCAATTAAGCTAGAGCTCCTGTGATGGAAACCAGTCACTATCATAGACCCTCCTAGTCCTGTTTGCTACCATTCCCTCGCTGTCAGCCTTAGCATGCAAGAAATCTGATGTGTACTATACCTTTCCTCATCCCTTTATCAAGTCCCTATGGGCCACAGACTCGGCTCCAAATTGAAATTAGTCAATAAAATAGGCAATGGTCTTTGGTCTGTTGCTTAGCCTTCTTGTAACCTGAGGAAAGTCCACCTGTTCCATAGGGTGACGAAAAGAAGTAAGATGCCCACAGTGGTGGGTGTCCTCAAAAAGGAAAGGTGACACGTTATTACCTTTAGGGATGAGGTTCATCATAACAACAGGACTTGAATACATGACTGAGCCTCGTGGGGTGAAGTCACGCATTAGACAGAAGAAAATGGGCCCCATGGAGAGATACATGAAGGGGGGATTCCTTGAAATTCCACACACTGGCTTCATTAAGAGTGAGAATAAGATTATCCTTTACCTTTCAGTTAATATCCACTTATGAGTGAGTACATACCGTGTAATATTGGGTCTCGCTTACCTCACACAAAAGTTTTTTTCTAGTTCCATCCATTTGCCTACCAATTTCATGATATCATTGCTTTAAAGAGCTGAGTAATACTCCAATGTGTAAATAAATGTGCCACATTTCTTCATGTGTTCTTTAGTGGAACGACTTCTAGGTTGTTTCCAGGTTCTGGCTATTACAAATAACGCAGCTATGACCATAGTAGAACAAATGTCCTTGTGGTATGACTGAGCATCCTTAGGGTATATGCCCAAGAGCAGTATAGCTGGGTCTTGTGGGAGATTGACTGCCAGTTTGCTGAGAACCCCCACACTGGTTTCCAGAGTTTGCACTCCCACCAGCAGAGGACACGCGTGTTCCCCTTTCTCCACATCCTTAGCACCATGACCTAGCTGCTCCTTGTGTTTGTCACCTAACTTATCCTGACAGGTGTAAGATAGAATCTCAGGGTCACGTTGATTTGCATTGATGGCTAAGGATGACGAAGGTTTCTTGAAGTGTTTCTCAGCCGTTTGATATTAGCTGCAAAGGATGATCATGCTGCAATCCACAGACCCAGGCAGGCTAAATGACGAGAAAGGCTCAAGGGGTGGGGATGCATGGAACTCACTGGGAAGGGGAAATAGAATAGATTTTTCAGGGAGCCAGGGAGTGTGGACATGGGGACAGGCGGGGTCAGCTGGGGGAATGGACTGACAGTACTGGGAGAGACAATTGTAACTGGGGGGCATTTCAGGGTTGAGACACAAACCTAGTAGAATGCAAAATCCCAGGCATCTATCTACTAGGGTGATCCGAGGGAAGAGTCCTAGTAATGGAGGACTGGAGCAGCCATCTGCTCTAGACAGGCAAGGCTTCCAGTGGAGGGACTGGGACAGCAAACCAGCCACAAAGCCTTTGACCTACAATTTGTCCTGAATGCAAAATGTACTGGTGTAAAGGTGTCTCAGTACTTCTGGGAGTGGCTAACCTATTACTGGTCCAACTTGAGACCCATGCCACGTGAGGGAGCCCACACCTGACACTGCCTGGAGGGCCAGGAACCAGAGGCTGGATAGCGCAGAGAGCTAGGATAGAAACAATATGGCCAGCAAAAATAAAAATAAACTCAATGAAAGGATGGCCATACTTGTAGACTTAAGCATAATCACCATCAGAGAGGCTTCACCCAATAAAAATAAACTCAATGAAAGGACGGCCATACTTGTAGACTTAAGCATAATCACCATCAGAGAGGCTTCACCCAGCAGATGCAGAGACCACAGCCAAGCATTAGGCAGAGCTCCAAAATCCCGGGGAAGAGGAAGATGAAGGGTTGTAGCAGCCAAGGGGTCAAGGACACCACAAGGAAATGACCCACAGAATCAACTGACCTGGGCTCATAGACGCTCTTAGAGACAACCAAGGAGCCTGAATGGAACTGACGTGGGCCCTCTGCATATATATTACGGTTGTGTAGCTTGGTGTTATTTTGAGACTCCTAACAGTGGGAGCAGGGGCAGTCTCTGACTCTTTGCCTGCTTATGGGACCCTTTCCTCCTACTGGGTTGCCTCATCCAGACTTAATATGAGGGGAATGTGTCTAGTCTTGTTAAAATCTGATATGCCGTGTTTGGTTGATATCCCTGGGAGGGCTGCCCTTTTCTGAAGAGAAGCAAAGGAGTAGTGGATCTGGACCAGAGATGCTAGGGGAACGGGGAGGAGAGAGGGGAGGGGAAACTGCAGTCATGAAGTAAAATAGGAGAGAAAATAATTAATGAAAAACAAACAACCAAAAAACGATTGAGACTATGCTGAACACGGTGGCGAATGCCTGTCATTCCAGCATTCCGAAGGCCAGAACAGGCAGATCTCTATGAGTGTGACGCCAATGCGGTGTACATGCAGAATTCCAGGCCAGCCAAGACTAACTAGTGAGACACTGTCTCAAGAAGCAGAGAAAAAGACTGGAAATTCAAAGAAAACGGCCAGAGTGAGAGAGACAGCAGGGGAGGTGGGCAGCCAAAGGAGCTCTTCACAGAACAGCCTTCAACTCCAGACAGAATCCACTAACAATCTTCTGGGGGAAGCTGAGACCACTCACTGAAAGAAATTCAAGGTCTGACCTCATAATCTTTCAACAGTGGCAAAAAAAGTTTCACATCATGTGACTGAGTTCAGAGTTGCTTATGTGACAGGCAGCATGCTGAAGTCAGGTGCCAGACATTGACAGCTCTCAAGCCTCAGGACATACTGCTTCTTGTTTTTGTTTTGTTTTCTAATTTAATTATTATTGAATCTTTGGGAATTTTACACCATGGTCCCCATTTACTCAGCTCCAAGACCCTCTGTATCCTCCCGTGTCCCCTGCAGCAACCCACTAATAAAAACTACAAAAAGTCAAACCAACACAAACCAAGACAAAACAAGCAAGCAAACAAAAATACAAAAGAACAAAAATAAAACAGCAACAACATAAAGCCCTCTTTGACCCTCCATGTTTCCCGCCTCTCCCACACCTCTTTATTTGTTCTGCTAGCTCTGGGGGTTGAGGTGTGCCCCCTGCAGCAACCCACTAATAAAAACTACAAAAAGTCAAACCAACCCAAGCCAACACAAAGCAAGCAAGCAAACAAACAAAAATACAAAAGAACAAAAATAAAACAGCAACAACATAAAGCCCTCTTTGACCCTCCATGTTTCCCGCCTCTCCCACACCTCTTTATTTGTTCTGCTAGCTCTGGGGGTTGAGGTGTGTCACACACACAGCATGCCCTCTTGTCCTGTCAGCTTTACTAGCAAATGTGCATTGCAGTGAGTCAGAGGTGGCCTTCAAGGCCTCTGGCTTCTAGCACCCCTTCTTCTCGGGATCCTCACCAAAACTCCTCTTGGATACCCTGTGTCTGCCCTGAGTCATGCAGATACTTCTGTGATAGTTCCACAGGAAGAGTCCCTTCACGAGCTCCAGCAGGCCCTAGATGGGGTAGATGTTAGGGTGGGCCAACCCCAGGCCCTGCTGTGGGCCTGTGTGGTAGTTGAGTTGCTCACTCCAGGCCATCTGGCCACCCTCCTCAGGCGAGGGGCGGAGCCAGCTCCCCTACTCACTGTTTCATCAAAATGAGCTCTCCCTCACAGGTGGTTAGGGAAGGGGCCATTTCTCCTGGGTGGGGAGGGGCACCTCTCCCATGAGGGCTGGAGCCAGCTCCTTTACTGCAGTGACTGGGGAGGAGCGGGCCCAGCTATCCCAGGGCCAGAGAAGGCCACAGCTGGCTCAGCATGGCCCTCTGATACTATCGCACATGGTTCCAATGGCCCCCTGAGGTGACAGGAGCTACAGATAGTAACACAGACCCCAGGTGCAGCTGCACCATGGACCCAGGCATGGCCCTCAGCAGAATCTGGGCCTGGATGACATCCTGGCTCCAGGTGGAAGTACAGGCTACTCAGGTCAGGATGGCTGGGCTGGCTCCCACCCCCACCCATCACACACACACCAACAGGGTCACAGGTTTTCACCCTGACCCTGGGCTTTCCTGGAACCTTTGGTGACAACACAGACCCCCGTTATGGTGGGATGGCAGACCCAGACATAGTCCTTGGCAGCATCCAGGTCTGGATGTCACCATAGCCCCTGGTGGTAGTGCAGTCCACTGAGGTCAGCACGGGTCCGGGTGGCAGTACAGGTCACCAAGACCAGCGTGGCTCCAGAGGCAGAAAGGCTGTTGGACAACTATGTAGTCACTGGTGGCAGCCCCAGACACTAGTCATCCTTGCGGCCTTTAGTGGCAACATGGGACATATTGCTTCTTCCCTTGTGGCAGGGAGGGTTGCAGAGAGGTGTGGCCTGATTTAGG